TGCGGCATCTCTTAGTGGCGTCGTGATTTATGAAGCAACGCCAAGAAGATATAACAATTCCGTTTACGGCTTACCATAAACCGCGAGCGCAGATTAATGGTAGGGACTCTTGTGTTTATGCTATGCAATTAACCATAACATATAACATTATATTTTAATGTTTGCGTATGATCTATAGCTATCTATTATATATACATGTATCGCAAAATGTGTTCCTAAGCGCATCACTCAACAACGCCTGAACCAATTTTACTAATCTAACTTTTTAAAATGTTCCTAGTAGCCGGAGAATTGCTTTTAAGAAAAAATCTAATAATTGCCGCGAAAACTCAAAAAATAGTAGTTTTTCATACAAGACGATCCCTAACTACAATGTAGAGTCAATTTGAACTGTATGCATTAACTAAACCTCGAATTGTCAAATTTTGTGTTCGTTCGAGCATTCATCAAGGCTATATAATATAAATCATCAGAACGCGACCAATAGCAGCTAAGAAACGGTGAGAAATGTGGAACGAGGAAAATCTTTGAGGCTTTCTGTTGCGTGCGCTGTGGAAATTCAATACCCAAAAATAGTTGCGTGTGCTGCGAAAGCGGTACCAAATATAAAAAAAAAAATCTTTTAATGATTAAGACCACGGTATATGTCTAACTTTTAAGCAATTGACTCACAATAACGATTTTTGCGGTAATCAATTGTGTTGATTTACCTTGTAAGACAAAAGAACGTTGGCCAGTTCATCTAGTATTATATAAAAATAACTTACTGCTTGAGTGACAGATTATTAGGCCGCTGATTTAGTAGACTTGACACTTCAGCGACTTATTTTCCTTATGACGTAGACAACCGATAAGGATTTTATCAAATTATCTTCCAAGTGGTGAGAAAAGATTAATACGATTTCTTGGTGCAGCTTACTGGGTTTTCTACAATGCCCTTTACCACAACTGACGCAGGACGTGCTGATTAATTTTCAACTTAAGCAGCGCAAATGTGGTAGTTGTATTAAGGTTGATAACAGAGCGCATTGAATGCATGATTTATTCCCTTGGTACCAAATTTAGAAGATTTGCATTAATTTATTCTATTATTGGAAATAAACTGGATTTGATTCGTACAAATATTTTTGTCTTTGTTAGAACATTTGTCGACTTTAAAACATCAGGCGACTAAAAGGAGCGAATGATCAGAGGAAAAAGTGGAAGGGAAAACTATTAACCTTTTAGCGATTTCGATGCGTGTGCGGCGAAAGCGGTATCATCAAAGAGAAATCTTCTTTAAATGATTAAAACCACGATATGTGTCTACCTTTCAAAATTAACTCGCAAGAACGACGGATCGCGGACGTGATGGGTAACAGATATAATTTATAAAACTGAGTAGATTTTTTGCAAATTAAGTAATATGATGCTAAAAATAACTATTCCACACGGACGAAGTTGCGGGCACAGCTATAATATGACATTATACAATCGAATGTAATTCCATTTCGATTTAAACTCGCCTAAATTTCTACTACTACATACAACTATACTACCTATTAAATCGAACGACCCAATTTCATGTTTAAAGGAGTCCGCTCTCTTTAGGAACAATGGAAAACGTTTCGAAGCGAAGGCTAGAGGAGAATCAATATCGATAAACTATTAACACAGTAATAAAACATACGCGGTACGGAATAGGCTACAAATAGTCCGAGCAAATACGTTAAAAGGCCAAACTTGAATGATTAACCACGATCTAATGGAAACGTGGTTCTTATTGCACTATTTATTTTTTAAATGCACGTTTCTTAAAACCGTATTATTTTCACATTTCCACGTATTATACAAACGAAGCTTCCTTTATACAGCGTACAATGTATGTATATACATTGACATCTATGTATAATCATTATATTCCTATTAGTACTGTTTCCGGGACCGCCTGTCTTTTAAGACTTCAAGATTAATGACATAAAATTATACACGTTTTTTAATCCTACTTTTTCCGAAGCCTGTTAATATTTACTTACCGCATACTTCAATTATTATAAAATTTCGTAACTTTATACGAATAGAAGGTGATTTGAACTGTGTATGGCTTGTAACTAAGAGATTGTGGTATTATCTGAATAATAATAAAAGCACTATGATTTTTTTTCATCATCATTATTGGATCTAGAAACGTCAGGAGTCTCCAGGAATTATAAATAAAAAAAAAATCTTACTAGCTTGAATAATTATTACTTAGTGAGTAAGGGTAATTTTTGTAGCATTATCTTAAATACGATTATTATCAACTAAATTCAAGTTTTACAATTCAATAATAACAACACAGTGTTTTCGAATAGTTTATTCCATCGTGATAGTAAATAGACGTTGTTTGTAAATAATTTACAAATAATTTCGAATTCATTAGATATATTTTAGATCTATGAGCATATTATGTAGATATGTACACCAATTCATTATTATACGCAATTTATATTGTAAAAGCTACACACCTAAATGCTAAGAAGTTACAGCTAGAAATGGGAAATGTGAAAACGTTCTACATATATCTATATCTATTTCTCAAATAAAAGTATACCAATCCAGTCGATAGTTTATTTTCTATAATAAACATGAGATGGCGTCGATAATGATAAAGATTGGCACAAGATAAAATCTAAGGTACATAGGAAACTAATTATTGGTAATAGGTATCGTTAGAAATAATACGTACGTAATTTATGTCTATAACGTAGTGATATAACAACGCCGCTAAAGAAATTCATTTCACCTTCAATTGATTTTGAAACTAGTTATCACTAGTGCATACAAAATTTCAGAAAAACAACGTATGTCGCAGATATAGAGAATAGAGATCCTTTTGCCATTTACCCGCAATGATAGTGACATATTTTCGCAGAAGAGTAGTGACAGTGACAATTTGCAAGTTCCCGCTTCTTGGCTTGACAGTGACATGTCAATTATGACCATAGATACTATACAGATCTCGCACAAAGAATAATATAATTGAAATATTCTACAATTAACCTGAGAAACATATTTACAATCATAAACAAGAATCAACATTTTTAACCTATTCTATTTTTATTAGAATTTTTCGTTATGAATATTTAATGATAATGCAAACAATATTATGTAGGTGTTCATCTTAAAATAGTCTTAAATATAATTAAATATCTTATTAATAAATTCTAATATTAAAATTTACCACACTTTACTTACCTATGAACAAAATTAAGCTCTTAATCGGAAAAATAAAATGTATGTGACACAGACATTAATACATTTTGCTATGGTTTGAAATAATGAAAATTCTTATTAGTAAGTGAAAAATTTACTGAAACCAAGGAGTTTGGATCGACGTGCATTTTAAGGCTTAGGTTCGGATTACACCTAGAGTAGTGGAGGGAATAACAAGTCTTAAATTCAAAAAGTGGTTTTTAATTACTATAATAAAAGGTAAATATCGTTCCATTTTGGTAAACGCTTACCTTTTCTATCCAATCCGTCTGGTCCCTAAACACCAGTGTCAATTCTTTGATCAGAAACTTGAAAGTTTACATAAGGTACGATACGGGTAGTTTTAAATCTATGAAGAAGCGTAATTATGGCCTAATATGAAGTAATATACTCGTGGTAATAAATGAAGAATTGAAGCAATAAAATAAATTATTTTTTAATTATATTTTAAACAAACAAAATTAACTTTACAAAGGAACGTTATCACTTTTGGTAACATTATATTTTATTATTACACATTTAGCTGTTCACCTATATTCAGCTGTGAACGGCTAAAAACTGCCTAAAACGAAAGGTTTGATATCTACAATATAATAATATGTAAATTTAATACTGTCTATAGTTTACGCGAGTAGTAAACATTTAAATAAAACACTTTGCCGTGACCACGGCTGCTGCAAAGCATCCGAAACGTCGGGCCGAAGTTAAAAATCATTTTCAAATAAGTTTAACTAATGTATCGCGTTTTCAACCGTTAAAATGTTTTATTTAAATATGTAAATTTCTTATATTTTTGGATGTTAGAGCGAGTAATTTTATTTGGTATTCTGATATTTGTTAAGGAACGTTTACTTTTATATTTACAGAAATATACACAGAAATATTTATTGCGATCCCCTATCGCTTGGGATACTATTAAAGGGATAACTTAACTGACCATACATTGAATTGTTTGCATATTATGCCTTGCAATTTCAAATAGTTCAAATTACCCGTACTATACCTTATGTATACTCTTAGTTCGAAGTAATTTAAAGTTATCACTACATTTATACATTAATATTAGTGCCATAGACCTCCGAAGAATATCTACAAGAATTTAATTGACTTTACATTTAGTTATCTAACTTTCTATTTACGTTTAGGCTTTGCGAAGAAGTTACTTACTTCATACATTCTTAACGCATTTGCTTTACACCTAAAACACTTTGTGTGCAGAATACAATACTTTGGACCAAAGTTCAACCTTCAAAATCATCAAACTTAATCTAGAAAGGAGATACATTTTAGTCTTAAAGACGAGAGCATTATTGCCTCAAGTAATTCTACTGACTTCCTAAACTACTCATCTCACTATATCTAATAGTATAAAATACGTACTTTACCGTTTTCATTACATTTATCACTGCACAAGTGGCACTGGTATATTAAAATCATGAGAATAATAAATTGTGCAATACTTAGTGATAAAAGTGTTACAAAATGTTAATAGATATAGATACTTGATATAGATTACATTCTTACCCACCTAATGTAGTCGATAGGTTAAAAATACAGAATTGAAAAACACGCACTCAAAATGGTCCCTGCGCAAGACACACTTCTGTTACCACCATAGAGAAAATTCATTCCAGAAACAGTTCAAACCATAGACAATAGTCCTGTAAAGTTCCCTAGTCAAAAGGAATGGGACTTTGTGCGGGGCTAGGCCAAGACGGCCCCATGTTCTCCAGCACATATTTGAGCTGGAAACTGGTGTGGAAATGCTACAGGTACTCATCTATCTGGTCGTAGTCCTCGTCGGGGGGTGAAGGACCAGATACGGAGAGAATCGGTAGTCCGAAATGTTTGACCGTCTCGACACTTCCGCTGTCATCTGATTTCCCTTCTTCGCTTATTGTTTCCTCTCGCGGTGCTCTTCCTTTGCACAGTCTTTCTGACGAATCTGTCATGCTTGTAAGAGGTATGTTATCTGCCGATCTGAAAATTATTAGCCTTATAATATTTGCCAACACATTGAGGTCACTTCAAAGATTGCGTTTAAAAGTTGTGGAATTACCACAAACTTGCCATCATATTATTCCCAAATTCGATATAGTACATACGGGCAATACTAGAACAAGCAACATTTGCGGACTGTCCGTTCTTTACGCAAGTAGGTACACATTTAAACAGAAATAAATAGAACACCAAATATATTAGTCAAATTACTTTCAATTTTTTTTAACTACAGGCCTACGTTTCGAATGCTTTGCAGCATGGTCACGCGGGGCTGAAAATATTCGTCACTACAGTCAAATCTAGTATGCGAGAGTCATTTGTTTTGTCGTAGATATTATAGATATTTGGGCCGTAGTTGAAATAAATTAAAAATAAATCAACTTATCTCTTACGGATTTTAAACTGGTTTCAACATACAAATTTAATGATTACCTAGCTTTTCTACACAGCTTCGATTGCGAGCCGTGTCGCCGTAGAAATTCCCCAGGATCAAACGCCCCGAAGCCGGTGGGTTCGGCTGATACAAATATGGCGGAGTTTACTCGTGGTCGAGTACACCGTGAGAGCAGGTGCTCTTCACACTCCAGGCTCTGTGTGTGTGTGTGGGACCAACGCATGTGCTGAAACACAACGGATTCATTATTAAAAGAAGTACAAAATTAGTTCTTACCCACTTTTATAAAGATTTAATCTTTTTTTTATCATAGCGTAAGACTGAGAAGCGTAGGCTTCACTTGATGGGAGGTGAAATACCCCAGCCATATAACATCTATACTAGATGGGCTGTCTGCCTATAATAATAATAATAATTTATTTGTAGACCATAGATCCATACATTATTTTAAAATAATACATAATTAATTAATCTAATTGCGTTAGTTGGGTTAGTAACAATTGGCATGTTGGCATTGGAACTTACTTCTTAAAAATAGTACCAATATTACAAAATGTTTTTTAAAGGGTAATCATTACCTCTTACGTGTATTTTCTATTTTGCATACTATTCTACCAAACGTGTTTAACAATCCGTGTATCCCACTACTGTTGTGTTAAAAGTGGCAAAAATTTAAATTGTTGAGCTGTGTGAACAAAACGTGTGAGCAAGCTGGTTTTCGAACTATTCTCTTTTTAAAAGCGAAACTGGTACAAGTAGTCGTCATAAGTGGGACATCCAAGACACATCCGAGTATGTAGGTCACAATACCGGCATTCTTTTTTACTTCTATTTGAAGTTATAATTGACTTGTTGTAACCTTACCTCAAGTATAGGAAACATACACGGTAAAGTTTAAAATAAACATATTATAATTATTTTCCAATGTAATCCTTTTAAACGACTATAGTAAATTCTACATTCGTAAAGATAGTTTTGTTTTAACTGTTAAAAACGTATAAGTGAATTAATTTTAACTATGACCCGACGTTTCGAATGCTACCCAGCCTTGTTTATCTCAGCTAGTGTTTTATGGTTCGCAAATCCATACAATGTCGGGTTGAAAATACCGCTATAATGTACGTTCTAAGTATTTTGTATGTGTTTTGTAAATTTAAATATTAACCGAAGAAAAAGTAATTGGCAAACGGTTGGTTGTTAACATAAGAATTGTAATTATAACACTTATCCTAAGTACAGACTTATATTATAAATGTGAAGCAAGCGCTTAGCAAGCTTACGTCAATCTCTTTGCACCACAACAGAATTGCTTCTACAAGGCGACTCATAAATATAGATGACACATCAGTAAAAGTTTTTCCGCTGTGCGTGCACGCTGTTAATATATAAAGATTGCGTTCCGTGCTTAATATATTGAGTCAACTAGTGACAAATGAACATGCTTGAAATAGGCATTTGTGATAAGGTGAAATCTATTCTAAGCAATAAATCTGGAGAGTTTTTTTGTTTCTTTAAACGAGCTAATCACAGAAAATACTGGTTCGAATTGAAAAAATCTGCTATAGTTAGGTCATTGTGACTAATACCAGAGAAGTGAAGAAGTCAAGTGTGGAAAGAACGGTGAAAAGTACATAGGAAAATAAAGTATGATTTGGCAAGCATATTTCATAGTAACTAATGATACAAAAGTACCTAGCGATAAGTCAAGACGATTGATTGTGTTTTCTTTAATATGTACTAGTCTATGTCATAGAGAATACTTACTTCAAACTTCACAAAACAAGTAATGCTAAGTTACAAACTGACATTTAAAATTCAAATAAACTTGTACTTATTTATATTCAAAAAGCGAACAGTCCTAACTCACACGCTTGATCCGGTGGCCGGTCGGCAAAGGTTCCGTGGAAATCTCATTTCCCTGATTTTTCTATTTCCTTTCTCCATGTCATTAATGTTCTTCGATTTCCGAGTGAGTTTTTTGTTAAGACGCCTTAAGCTATATTTCGTAATAACGAAGATGCCACTTCAATACAAAATGTTTTATTGTTGATTTTAATGGCCTACGTTGATGTTATAACTGTTTAATACGTAAATTATTTGGTTTAGTAAGAAGGATTACTTAGATGAATTTATTTTAAAGATATACAGTATACATTAAATTTCTACAAATTTGGTCTGGTACTTTTTTAAAAACAGACCTTAGATTGAGATGTGAACTTCCTTTAATTTCTCTTGAACGTCAAGAGTATATACATTAAGGTTAGGTAAGTATTTTTTCAAAAATACACAAAAATATCTGTGGTACATTACTACGGTTAACAAACAAACTATACACTTATGTACGGTTTAAAACGCACACTATACTAAGATTTATTGTTTGCGTCGTATTTCACTATATGAAGCTCTTACAAAACATATTTTCAGAGCATAATTTTATGAACAGTCCGACGAGTCAGAATAATGTAAGCCTTGAATGTTAGGTGAGGCTCAGCCGACCTACAACACATTAAGTTCACATAATCCACTAACAGCTTCATGTCTACAAATTGCTGTGTGACGTCATACCATCGCATAGTTTTATATTAATTCCATTTATGGATCAGATATGGTTTAATTACATTATTATATTACTTCTGTTGCAAAAATATGATCATAACAGAGAACGTGCGAAAAAGTATAGTATAGTAAGTTATTTAATAGTTGTAATTATCTACTTACGAAGATATTAACTATAAATAAGTAAAATTTTTAAGTCGCTGAATTTTATACGAGAAAAAGCCAACTCATTAAAATAAATCACTCTAACGGTTTAAAACGCGATGTTCATTAGTTAAACTTATTTGAAAATGATTTAAAATACGGCCTCAAGTTTCGGATGCTTTGCAGCAGCTATGCTCACGAGGAGACTTAAAATAATTTTCAAATAAGTATAACATTCTCGTTTTAAACTGTTAAAGTGTTTCATTCAAATGTTTACTACTCGGGTAAACTAACCCAGCATTTACAAGCCAGCACATTTATATGTCCATTCGACTGTTGAATTAAATTTCCTTTCCTTATGTATATCACATTTCAGCGACCTACTCGACCGCGTCAGTTTGTAAACCAGAACCTTCAAGATGTCGCATAGAAGTATATCAGCTACATAATATAACAAGAAAGCGCTAACCATTTTTAAATTGCTGTAAAAATAAGATTATAGTAACGAAGGTCTCGCATGTGAGTAAATTTAATTTAGTGCGACAAAAGCGTGATACATAGCGCTAAATGCATTTTCCACTTAACGCTAACTGCGATGCATAATTACGTTTTGCACGCCATCTCTGTGGCCGCATCTATACTTGTCTAATATAGGATGATAACAGATAATTGACAATTTATTTTATAGTCATTATGTGCCAGTATGTATGTAATCGTTTGTTGGTCTTGAACAAACAATACATTTTTACAAGTATATAATATGAAATCTGAAATGAACAAAAAAAAACTAAATATTTGAATAGGCGTTCGTAATAAATGTATGTACATCTTGGGAGGCCTAACAGAAGTGAAAACTTAAACGAATATATATAAAACTGTTTGATATTTAGGGTATGTGCTGTTGTCGTATGTGGAGGATAAACTGAAGGTAGACAGAGCCGTAACGCGTTACTCAGCAAAGTCTAATCATGATCTCCTAATCGTATTTTTATAATATCTTTTTCTCGTCGATATAATACTATATTGTTTACTACTTATATAAAAATGCAATATTTCTCTGACGTGAATTGTAACACTTATGATCCTTGATTAGACCTGCTTTTAACCGCATTAAAAGTTAATTAAGGACATCTCTGAAAGTACCTTTGTTGTGGATCTCATAGCTTCATTAACTAATTTAGTACTGCACGTCCTGAATTTAAGAGTTACGGCAAGCGTTATGTATTATGTAGGGACCTTTATTGTGAGAATTCACCAGCATTTCAGTTAATAGAGCAATCTCATGAAGATAGAATTACTTATCTTTTTTACCGAGTGAATGGATTTCAATCTTCTTAACATCATTTATAAAATGAACTCATCCCTGCAAATATTAAATGATCTTTCGTTGCTAACAATACAAAGGATTAATTTTGATATTAAAGACTTACTATGATTAAAAGCTCTGTAAAAATGATAGCAGTTGGAAATAAAACACTGTAGTCAAGAAGCAAAGTATAAGAGAAAGTGCCGCTGGCCCGAACGTAAGATAAGAAAAATCAGTGCGAAAATACTGTGCGTCAAGATCCAATCTCAGTAACACGAAGGTGCGTACAATTTACAATCCTGGCTCCGAAGGTGCGTGACCAGAAACACGCGACACCGTCTCAGTAAATCTATCGGCCGTGCGAACCTATAAGTTTTAATAGGTTATCTTGATCGTGCGGCACAAAACCACCCACAAAAACTTCACATCCAGTGGATGTTCTGGTGTAACAGCGTGCGTGTTTGCGAATATTCGACACACTGGTAAGCGTGCTTCGCTTACTTGGTGATCGCAACCGCACCGGCATTTGCAGAGGGAGCAAGCCCGCGTCCTAGCGCGGGCTGGGCTCCGCTAGCTGCCGTGGTTATCGTCGGGCGCAGCATGCAGCAGTGCAAACTGACAGCCGCAGTCGCGCGCGCTCCGCCGAGGGTATTGGAAGCAACGGTCCAGAAGGCAGCATACGTCCTGCGTACCACACTACTTGAGCAACGCAATTTAGCCTCGCCACCAATTTGTACCACGCTCATTGTTTTTACGAAACACGTCAACTTTATCCAACATTATCAGAATTTGATCAGGAAAAGTCCAAAAAGCCAGTACAAATTATTGATTTTAAAACTACAAGGTAAAACTGCATATCTGGACGATGACAAAAATCCAAGTAATGATTTCTTTGGAATTATAGTAACTTATTGCGAATTCTGGTACTATGGTAATTCTTATATTGATCAGAATCGGCAAGTAGATGCATTTCGTATAAACAGTGATATCACACAACTGTTGTTTGCACTGCGTCCTTAAGAAACGTTTAAGACAATACTTAAATAACGTGCTTTATGGACCTGATTGTGTTTCTGATAACGTGCGAATGATGTTTTTTCTTTAATATAGGTAAAAATAACGTAATAAATATTGTTAACTGTCAACGTGCAAAAAATGTACTATCCAAAGGACTTAATTAAAATTTAACGTACATGTATAAACGGTGGGACTCAGTAATTCTTATTCATGTTTTCGTGTATTTTATACGAACCAGAAGCTTTATTTGCATGTTGTTATTGCCTTGTTTAATTACAAGATGATTGAAGTAATTAACAATTATTTTAACCAAAATATTAGATAACGTCATATCCTGGCAACAAATAAAGCAGAGTTACTTTTTCTAACTACCCTCAAAACTCATATAAATATAATAAAGAATATTGTCCTCTAAGGTAAATCTATAACTATGTGAAGTGTATATATATAATTAAATACATCCTGAAATCATATAATTTGTTATTTCACAAAAATGGCTGCAGCATTTCGATACAATATAGCATTATAAATTTCATTCAACGTTCTATGCAAGGTATAATAGAATGTAATCTTCACCTGACGTGTGTCAGGTACAAAAGAACGTAAGGTAACGACGTTGTATAGAGATCCTTACCGAGATTTATTAGACATTCCTCAAAGGCCTCAGTAAATATTTACAAATAAAAAATGTTCTGTTTATTATAACTGACGTCTTAATATTCACTGCAGTATAACTCTAAACATGTCGCTCTGTACCACCCCAATTAGAATTCGAATAAAGGTCAAAAACGGGTCTTGTCAAGATATTATATGGTATATGATTATGATATGTCACCTTTCATCAAATGAATGCCGTGCCTGTTATTCTTCTCTATAATAAAAAAAATACAAGATAAGAATACATTAAATGTCATTACGATGTTCCAGTTTCTAAAGCATGGATAAACTACGAGTGGCTTTATCCAGAACCCTGGTCACATGCGTCTTAGTAGATGACACGTGTCGAATTTTATGCTTTGAGAAATTTCACTTGCTCAATATACTTTCCTTAATCTCACGTATCGGAATGTACGCAAAAATTTTGCCATACTGTTTTCAATTTGCTTAGCATGTCGGGTACTATACGAAAAAACATATATCTGTAGCTTTTTATGATCGAGGAGACCAGTATGTGGTTTACTTTATGGTTGGTGATATACCCCGTTTAATATCCAGATTTCCAGACGAAGTCCACCATGTTTCAGAGAAATTATAAATGACATTTCAATAATGACACTGCAGGGCCATAACAAGTTAATATTAATCAGTAATTCTCGTCAATGCTCGATTGAAATTGTACAAAACCAATGAATATTGTGACATTTATGTTTGATTACACTGATAATAATGAAAGGATGGCGTGTCGCGATGCACATACAGTAAATATTACGTAACCCTGTTATTTTTAACCTTTGTTCACATTACTTTTTCAACAGAGAGCTGGTCGGTAAGAATTAATACGACGTTGAATTGAGGCCGTCTTCATGGCCCCATGTTTAAACAAAGTCTAGGCTTCCGCGAAAGGGTCTCGGGTAAAAATTCTGGGGAAACTCATTGTATACTTTCGATCAGGTGCAGATCTAATGGTCTGTAACTTTCTTGTTGTTGTTGACGGTCTTGTGTAGTGAACAATTTATATTTTATCTGAAACATGTTGGACTGTGGCTCGCGGACCACCGTCCCGTGAAAAACCCGTAAAATTTCATTGCGCTTTGGATTCAGTCAATGGATTTCCGATTAACCAAAGTTAATGTAGGCCGACAGCGCATCTTTTTTAGATGTTTTAAGGCCGGCCTATTTCACCTACCAACAAGTGAACTCTATGCTTTTCTGTCCTCCTCTATCATAAAAAAAATAAAAATTATTCAGTGAAACTTAACTTTATGTCCGACCCATGAACGAAGCACGGGATTTCATATGTGATTATTATTTTTCTCAAACGATTTTTCAAACAAATTTGTCTCAAACACAGCCATTGGCGAACTACGCCGTTGTTGGTATGGTAAATGAGCAAATGTTTGTACCAATTCTGAATACTTTCATCTCTCGCGCAATAGAATATCAAAGTGATGTTATGTATTACGTTATTGATATATGAGTGTTCATGGTAATTGACAGGCTTCGGTGGGCTCGTTGGTGTAATGTTATCATTGTACGGCTAATAAACTACGGGTCTTGGTTTGATCCCCATGGGGTCCAACATGTTTCTAATTTTTAAAAATTTTCGAATTATATTGGACTTCGTTTGGAAATCTGGATATTAAATGGGCGTTAGGAATATCAATATTCCAGACATTACAGGTGGAAAAGAAGTTTGTTCATGCTTCGGTTTCAGTGTGTGAATTTCCGAATATCCAAAGCTAAAATAGCTCGACAGCACATCTTGCTTAGATGATATACGCCGGGGTATTTCACCAACCATCAAAAAAAATAGGTGTGGAATCGTTTTTGACGATGTACAGGCATGTAAACTAACAATAGAAGCCGAAGTAGATAATCAATTTTGTAGGTACTAAGTGATTACTATTGGGTAACAACAACTGTATCCCTTGAATTCAATCTTGATAATGCCTTTGTAGAAACCACTGGGCTGTATACAGTTGAGAGTGTATCGACAATATTGGCGAATGTACAACATTGGCATACGCTTGAGAAAAAACGTACGTATCTAATGGGACGACTTTTTTTTACGTGGGGAAAACCTTTCGGATACCCACCGCATCAGAAGGAGCAAATGGGTTATGTCGGACTTAAACCGACTAAAACCCCACAATAAAAACCTCTGACACAAATGTGAAGCATGAATAATGGGACGTCCGATACAACTTAAACTACATTGAGTAGAAAACTAGACAGTCTACCGTAACGCGTCACGTAACGAAGTGCTTTACTGTCTCATAATAGATCCTCAAATATCTATATAATACTATAAAGCCGAAGAGTATGTTTGTGTAAATACGCAAATCCCAGGAACTATTGGTTGGATTTGAAAATTTGCTTTTGTGTTGGTTAAAGCATTTATCGAGAAAGGCTATAAAACATCACGCTGCGACCAAGAGCGAAGGCAGAGTGGAATAAAACGGAGCAAATATCCATCTCTAATGCTTTCCGTTGCGTGTCCTGCGAAAACGGTAGGTACTTAAAAAATATGTATGTAAGGATGATGTCTCTTGGGTGATCCAAAAAGCCTACGATAGTATATCTTTTAATATTGACTAGTAAGAACGACGAAGTCACGATATTTATAAAGAAAGGTTCTTAAAAGCTTCATTAGTAAATTTTAACATTACCGTTTAAATTATAAAGTACAAATGTTTTCGCCCAGTTAACTCGTTTAATTATGACGTTTCCCCCAACTCACTACGAGCAATGCACGGGGCGTTATGAATTAATTTTCCGTACTTCATATCAATCATTAATTAGTTTTTACTTTGGTGAAATCCCATTTCGTCTTCCTAAAGTTTATTACTACGTGTACTTATAAAGTATACTTTTCTAACTATTTATTATGTTTCATCATCATTCTAGCATTAAACACAATGTTGGGTAGTATGTGAAGTTTGTATCCTTGTAAGGAAGCACCTACCCTTAAATTTATTTAAATTTTAAAATCTTAAAAAATCTAATAAATTGCATAAGAAATCGTATCCTACAGGTATTTGCATTGATAAAATCAATAATGGTCAACGTAGAACCAACGACCAACAACGTGAGTACTGTTTTCGTGCTATCCCTTCTGCCCTTAGTGTACCACTATATGTTTATTTTAATGTAAATTTACTTTAGTTTTTAAAAGGTCTTATGTGCATTAGCAAGTTATTCTTTTCCATGTGACTCTAACTGGAACTTATTGAACCTACTTTTATATGCTATACTATTGTTGGTTGGGTCTTTCCTGCCAAGTGTGTCCCCGATAGAAATATAATATTGTTGTGGGGGTTTTTATAGTAAGTTTACTATAGAAAAAAAACAATATCCCACTCAAACTATGAAGTCTTTGATAGAAAAAAATGTTCACTTCAGTTGTAAAATATTTGCATATCTAAATTATTATTTTCATAATTAAATTGTTTTTCATAACTAAAAAAGTGTAATAGGAATATTATATACAAGGAAAATTGCTTTATGCTAATAGAAACAAAAGCATTCAGTGGTCAAGCTTGGACCTATCTTGGGAGCACAATATTGTTATCTTGACGTCATCGGAGAACCACAATCCGATTGTATCTAGTCCCAAACGATGTAAAGGGACAAGCGAAATATAAACGGTTATGTTATGTATTTTCTATACTTAATAGAAATATTGTCTGTAATTTATAATGACATCAGTTATTCGTTAATTCATTAAAGTAGATGGTATTTATACCAACAAAAAATAACTAAATACTGTCTGTAGTTTAGGGATAAAACAACTAAGGCCAATTAATTGGCACAAAAGTTTAAAAAGCGTTGCGTTTTAACCCGGCGTCGGTGCTTTTGTGACGTCCTCAAAGCGGTCTATTGCAATAAAAATGCAACACTGCTCAATAAAAGCGTCGCGTTTTAAAAGCGCCGACGTGTGAACACGTACTTGGGTATGCATATGATCTATTTGAATGCTTTTTTAACGGATGATAAAAAGCTCTCGTGCGAATTAGGCCTAACGGTTTAAAACGCGACGCGAACGTCTCGTGACCACGCTTTCTGCAAA